AGCACCTGGGGCGGTGAGATGAAACAGCATTGCACCTGGGCATGTGTGCAGACTGAGATTCGACTGAAAGCAGGTAGCTGATTAGTTTGTGCAATTGGGACCAGTCTGGATACCAAAGATCATCAGCCTGAAGACAAGTCTCTGATGCTTGAGCATCTGAATAGCTTGTGGGTGTGACTGATACTGTGACAGAAGGTTTTCCAGACTGGAAGAAGCCTGCTTTGTCTCTATATCTCTTCCGTAAATGTTCCTGAAGCTTGATGTGAGCCAATTATTCTCTACCACCAATTGCCTTTAACCAGTAACTCAAAAACTTTATAGTTAGTGTACCAGTCACTGTGTCTTTTGGAAAGAAGTGAAAAAAATCCTGTAGAATATCTTGGGAAGCAAAAGGAACATCTCACCAAAGCCTGTGGATGAGAGCTATTGAATTGCCTTGCCTTATTGTTTTATCTCCACCCATAACATACTTTTTTTTTGTCTGCGTTAAAATAGGGTTTTAAAAAGTGACAGAGTTTCAGCTAGTAGTGTTATACATTGATAGTTAATAGTTCAGTTTCACCTGTGGTTTATATTTGTTCAAATGTAATAATTAGTAGCTCCTCTTAAGTTTCAGAACTTGGTCAATGTTTTCTGTTAACCTAGTTGCTTCAGGCAAGTAAACTGGGGACTTTGCATACTTTGAATAAATCTTTAACTTTTGTGGTGACCCCAAGAGTAGTTGGGCTCAAGAATCAGTGCACTTTCCCAAATGGGTCGTAACACAATAGCCATGGTTTCCTGAACTTGGATCATCCACTGTATTGGGTCATGCACTCTGTTATCATCATTAACTACAGAATCATCCTTCCAGCTCTATTGGCTTCCTGTCCTTCCTAAATGTCCTGTACCTTTCAGGATTTAGGTCACTATCCATGTAATCATGCCTTCTTGAATAGCAAGGTTTCTAATCTTGTGTGACCTTGTTATCCATGGCTCAGTAGTATCACTCCAGTAATTTTGAGCATATCATTTATGCTAATAATTGATTGTTGTACTGAGAGCGCTCTGCACTGATGAAGGTACCGTCTGTCAGACAAGATATTGAAAGAAGGTCTCATTTGCTTTATCAGGTGGACATAAAAATCTCCTGCCACAATGTGATAAAGATTGGTGGCTTCTCCTGGCCAATGTAAATCTTTCAGTTTAAAAACTCCATCTACTTATTATTTCATACATGGTTCTCATTGTTGGTTTCCCAGATAAAGAAACTCTTGGAAAGCAAAGGTATTAAGGTATAAAGACCAAAGGCATGTATATGGAGTTAGGGCACAGATGATCCTACTGAATGGTGAAACAGGCTCGAAGGGCTGAATGGCCTACTCTTGTTCCTATGTTACACATCTGCTCCATCAAAGCTGGATTCTGATGTCTGCTTCAATTCCAGACATACTGACTTCTTGAAATATCTCAGTGTTAGGCCCTTTGGTGTCCCATGCATTGCTCATGATGTTCCAGATGCTTCTCATTTCAATGCTGACTGTGAGATGTGGCTGAGCAAAAATTGCACAGATTCCTGCCACTCCTGTGTGATCAGTTTAGTGGCAGGACAATTTAATCAGATGGGAAGGTGATGGGTGAGAGTGGGGAGCTGCCACCTTCCTGTTTCCACCCTGATTATGCCCAAGGATGGCTTTCTCGTCCCACCACCAATTTGGTACCATAATTGGCTAATGAAAGCCCACAGGGGTGCCATCCTGCCACTATCCTTCCAATGCTTACTCAGGGGTCAGTGTGGGGTAAGCCACATTGAGATTGTGAGAAGCAGCCTTGGCTTGTTTGCTTGTGGGGGCCTGGGGGTGATGAGGATGGTGTCCCCTGCTCAAAGGCATTCAGTGGCTGATTAAGGCAACTGGCATCAAGAATGGGGTTGTCCTCTGCCAGGCACGTTCCTATTTGTTCTGTTGACACCCCTCCTCCTGAAACCCACGTCCGCCAATCCTTTCCCATGTCACTCAGCTATTCCTGAGCTGCTCATCAATCTGAGCTTTGGATGTGCTACTAGCAGTAGCCAGTGCCAGCCTGGTAAAGGTGTCCTGTTGACCTTTGATTGGCTAGTAAGACTTGGAAGGTGGATCTTGTCCTCAATCTCCCATTAGCTTGTCAAGTGCCCAGGGGGCATCGTTCACAATTGATCTTCGTGAAAAGAGTCTCAATGGCTCTCCACCTGACAACCAAGACCTCCATCAGCTCTACAAGATTCTCTCCTTCTCTGCTGCATTTACCACATTACATCAGTGACTTCGCTTCCAAAAGTGACTGTAGAGTGCTTTGAGTAGTCATGTGGTCATGAAAAATGCATGTTCAAGTCTTGATTCTTCTGCATCATATTTATATGATCTATATTGCTGATGCTCTTTCCAGGATGCAGATGACAGTTTCTGGAGCATAAATTTGATGTACTCCCTCGGGAGACAGGGTTATTTATTCCACTTTTATATTTTTAGTGTAAACTGAACACACCGGATACATGAGCAAAGATATGAGCGCCCTATCCATACATTTCTCTTGATCTGAAATACTTGTAAGTTAATGAATACATACCTGTAATTGACTACGCTTTGACTGCTAACCATCTGATCATCTGTCCTAAAGTTATCTTTTTATAGTGATACAATTCACACAGTTATCTGCATGTCAAAATATCCAAAGGAAAATCAATAAATCTTTCTAATTGTTAATAGAAAGAAACATACTTTTAGAAATTAGAATGACAAAATAAGACTTTCTATCACTCCTACAAGAAAATAATTCTTAAAAAAAAAATTGCCTAGTACCAACCAGATTGAAGGTGGGTGGTGGCATGAAAATATAAATTTAATTTTAGTGAAGAACATGCTCTTAAATGTGTGTTGCATGTTAATTATCTGGATGTGAACATTGCTATTAAGGTCAACATTTATTGCCTATCACTAAATGCCCTTGAGAAAATGGAAGTGATCATGTGTTGCAGATAGACCTACAGAATAGTTCGGAAGGGCGTTCCAAGATTTAGACCCAGCGACAGTGAGGGAACAATGATAAAGTGTCCAGGTCTTGCTGCACATTGGTGTGGCCTGCTTCATAATCTGAGGAGTTGCTTCTGAAATGTAATTTTCTACAATCATCAGCGAACATTTTTACTTCTGACTTGTTGCAGGGAAGGTCATTGATTAAAGCAGCTGAGGATGAATTGGACTAGGAAGCTTCTCTAAGGGACTCCTGTAGTGATGTGCTGGGGCTGAGGCTGAGTTAGACAGATTTTTAATTGACATACAGGGAGCACTGTAGGAGCTAGGAGGCCACAGACAGATCAGCCAGGAGCTTACTGAATATATGAACCGGCTTGAAGGGCTAAATGGCTTACTCCTCCTCCTCCAGTTTCTCCATATTATAATGCGCTGAGATAATTAGCCACTACCATCTTTGTTAAGTATTATTCCAAGCAGTGAAGAGTTTGTCCATTGATTCTCATTCGCTTTCATTTTACTTGATCCCACACTCGGTCAAATGCTGCCCTAGTGTCAAGGACAGTTACTATCACTTCACTTCCAGAATTCAGCCCTTCAGCTCAAGACTATAATGGGAACATAAGAACATTTTGAGAATGGAACAACAAAAGACCCATCAAGCCAATTCTGCCATTCAATGTGACCATTGGCTGATCTTGGGCCTCATCTACACCTTTCTTAACTGCTCGCCAATCCCATGATTCCCTGAGCGACCAAACATCTGCCAACCTTAGATATAAATAAAGTCAATGAAAGCACATTCACAATCTTCTGGAATAGAAATTTCCAAACATTTACAACGCCTTGATGGAAAAAATTTCCCTTCATCTCAATGCTAAATGATTGACCCTTTATTCTGAAACCATGCCCCCTTATTATCTGCACGGGGAAACAATGGGAGGGATCTTTCCAGTGTGGGCCCAGAGAACCAAATTAGGTGAAGGTGGTGGTAGATCAGATCATCACCACCACCCTGTCCTCCCTTTGCCTGAATTGTCCTGAGTGGGAAGACCCAGATCTTCAAATATTCATTTCTCTTTGGGCTACCTTCTATACTTGTTTGTGACCATCCTTACTTCCTTTCCTTTCACTTCAACCCCACCCTCAGAACACCCCTTCCCCAAACGATGCTTATGTTCCCTGTGTATAATCCTCTGATCTGGGAATCTGGGGAAGGTGTAGCAGCAGCAGCCATATTCTCTCAAGGGCTGGTAGTTCTTGGCAGCCAAGATGGTCTCATTCTAATTCTACGAGAACGTCCATGAACTACTTACCAGCTGTCCAATTGCTGGAAGATCCAGCAGCCTTGCCCATTTCAATGGGCTGTAGGTTACCTCCTGGGAACTCTTCCGCTTTGTCTGAAAATGAGAAAATACTGTCCAATGTCCCAGTATCTACCCTGTGGAACACCTTCATAAATTTTGAATGCTTCAGTGATACCAACTCTCATTCATCAAAAGCTGTAGAAAACATAGACCCAACTTGCTCAGTGTCTCTTCGTAGAAAAAGAGACCAAGCTAGTATATTTTCACTGCCTCCAATGTAAGTATCTTTCCTTAAATATGGAGACACCGTGTTCTAGGTGTTGTTTTACCAAACCCTGATACAACTGTAGAAAATCCTTTTTTATTCTTGTACTCTAATCCCCTTACATTTAAGAACTATTTAGATGAGCACTTGAAGAATCATAACATAATGGGCCAAGTGATGGACAACAGGCTTAGAATTGATGGATATTTGATGATCAGCATGGACTTAATGAGCTGAAGGGCCTCTTTCCATGGTATAAACAACTCTACAATAAAGAACGCATCCTTTTTGATTCCCTAATTGCTGTACCTACGTGCATTTTTTTTTGTGACCTATGTATGAATACACCCAAGTCTCTTTGAAAACCAACATTTGCAATTTTCAGAACTTTTAAGAAACAATCAATATTCTTGAGAATAATCTCAGTATCTTTGTTTTTAGACAGATAGAACAAAATGTTGCTGTGCTTTCCAAGCTTATTGACATGGGTTTGGTAACTGTGGTAAGAGAATTTAAATTTTAATTTTTTTTCATTCCTAATTACGCTGCATTTTTAACTCTAGAACTGCTACTCATATTGGAGAATAATTTGATTTCCCTTTCATTCCAGGATTCGAATTCCTCTCACCTGCAACCTGACAACAAAAATGTCTTGTATGGAGTGATTTTTATATTAGCAGCTGCCAACATAATTTCAATTACTTTGGCTGCATTTGTGCCGATATGTATTAGACAAAGGTTAGTTACAAGAATCAATTCAATGGGGAGGGGACCAGGGATTGGTAGCAGCATGGATTACAAGCAGATAAACCATAATCTTGTCGAATGGTGGAGAAATCTCAAGGAGCTGAATGGCCTCTTCCTTATTCCTAGCTCTTATGTTTGGTTGTTTTTACAAAACAAAAGTTAATTAAATAATACATTCTTACAAGAACATTTGAAGAGGGGAGTGAGCCAGGAATAAATTACAGCTTGGAAAGGACGAGTGATCCCAATCTATGAATGGTTTATTCAAATATTGCTGAAAAGAAATCATACTTTCTACTGTATGAGAAAAGTTTGTTAAAGGGTCCCTTTTTCTCCTGTAATATGAACTACTTTGATCATTTGAAATTTTTCATTCTTGCATTTTTCTTGATGAACACCAACTCTAAAGCTTCAAAAAGATACCTCCTCTCTTTTCAAAAATATTCAAATCTGTACTAATGAGTGAATGGTTAATTCCTTCATATGGAGAAAAAACTTTTTCTTCCATTTTAGAGGAGGATTTACTCATTTCATCCCACTGAGAAGACTTTGATATGGATATGACTCAACATTGCTCACTGTACTTTCCAAGCCTGTACATTACAAAGCAGGGTGGGGGAGACAATTGTGTAGTTAACCTTCTCTTTTCTTAACACCCTCTCATGAAGCTGCCATGTGGGATCAAGTTGAGATTTGATTTTATTGCTACTGATTGCCTGCTAGATCCTTATTCAAGTGGCCAAGCTTTAGGTCTGACCTGAATCAGTGAAAATGAGAGAAAACTCAACATCAGTACACTTGATATTTGACTTGGGAGAACCTATTTGTAATTGTATTGTCAAGCCCAATCTGTGTTGGATGTAAGCCAGCTACTGGCCTGGAAACCAGTCTGTTCTTTGTATGCAGTGCGTGTCTGCAGATATATAAAAAAGACTACTTTTTTTTTTGTACGCTGATCAAGGTCCATCTGCTCTCAAAGGAAATCAAAAATCACAAGAGATGTAAAGTGGACTGCTAGTTTGCTGTCACTTGTTTTACATGGTTGCACAAAGTCAAAATGATCTCTTTAGTTTGTAAACAGGTGTAAATTTGACCAGTTTGTGTTAGGTTTCAGTGTCCAAATCCCTGAAATAAATTTGAAATTGGTAGTGACGCCAACACTGAGTGCTGGGACATTCCACTCTGTACCTCATCTACACTGCCATATCTTCTTTAATTCTTGTTGTTTTCTAAATTTCAGTTGAATTATTATCAGACTGCAAGAATTAATCTGAATCCCCACAATTTTAGTTTAATTCACAATCTTTTGGTTTTTGTTTTTTCATTCATGGGCTGAGGGCATCACTAGTTAGGCCAGCACATGGGTGCACATGGAGGCCAGACCAGATAAGGATGGCAGATTCTTTCCCTAAAGGACATTAGTGAAACAGATGGGTTTTTCACCAACAACTGACAATGGTTTCATATTCATCACTAGACTCAGTTCTACATGTTTTTTATTGAATTCAAACTTTAGCATCTACCATGGTGGAATTTGAACCTAGGTACCCAAAACCTTACCTGGGTCTCTGCATTACCAGTCCAGTGATAATACCACTAGGTCATTGCCTCCTCTAAATTCATGTAGAACATTTTCTATTGTAGCTGGCTGTCGAGGTAGAATACATTAAAGGGTTTTCCAAAGTCTGCTTAGGATATCACTGCCTGCCTCTGCACCTCTGACTTGAAAACTATTTTCACAAGAAGCCAAGATTGTCACAGACTCTAGAATCAAGGCCATGGGCTCAAACGTAAACAAGGAAATATTATGCTAACCATTCAGATAGGTGAAATGGATTGCCTTAGAAAGGCAGTGGAGGTAGAGAGAGTCTCCAACCTGTGGCTCAATAAGGACTCATATCCAGCTCTCAATCGAACTCATTTTTATGTTAATTAAATCATTTGCCTTGCTTTTGTAAACCTTCATTCTCAATGTCCTTGTGAGAGGTTATTGTTCAATTAACAATTTTTGTAAAAACATATGAACATTGACTTAAGAGTAGAAATACCCCAATTAGCCCCTTGAGCCTACCCAGCCATTTAACAAGATCTGAGGAAGGGTCACCGGACCTGAAATGTTAAATCTGTTTTCTCCTTCACAGATGCTGCCAGACCTGCTGAGCTTTTCCAGCAACTTTGTTTTTGTTCCTGATTTACAGCATCCGCAGCTCTTTTGATTTTTAACAAGATCATGGCTGATCAGATTGTGTAATCCAGATTCCTACCAGATTCCCGGATCACTCACTTTCTTACCAAGAAACTTTCTACCGCTATGTTAAATATTCCAAGACTCTGCTCCCATCACCTTTTTTGAGGAAACAAGTTGCAAAGAGTTACGACTTATGACAAGTTATGACTTGTACCGCAGGCCTCCCAACAGCCAGCGGGTGATAGAGGAACAGATGTGTGGACAGATTATGGAAAGATGTAAAAACAACAGCGTTGTTGTGGTGTGACTGGGACTCGCTTGGTGCCAGGGCTTGGATGGGGGTGGGGTGGGGCATGTAATTTGTTAGGTGTGTCCAGGATGGTTTCTTTTGCCATCTCCCTAACCTGTCCTTCCTCCCACCTATCCCCTCCTCCCACCTCAAGCCCCACCCACATCTCCTACCTACCAGCTTCATCCTGCCCCCTTGACCTGTCCGCCCTCCCTGGACTGACCTATCCCCTCCCTAACTCCTCACCTACACTCACCTTTACTGGCTCCATCCCTGCCTCTTTTTTGACCTGTCTGTCTCCTCTCCACCTACCTTCTCCTCTATCCATCTTCTATCCGCCTCCCCCTCTCTCCCTATTTATTTCAGAACCCCCTTCCCCTCCCCCATTTCTGAAGAAGGGTCTAGGCCTGAAACATCAGCATTCCTGCTTCTCTGATGCTGCTTGGCCTGCTGTGTTCTTCCAGCTCTACACCTTGTTATCTCGGATTCTCCAGTATCTGCAGTTCCTACTATCCCATGTAAATTGTCCAACTGGGCAAGGGGCCATACTAGACCTGGTATTGGAGAATGATCCTGGCCAGGTGATCGAAGTTTCAGTGGGGGAGCATTTTGTGAACAGTGACCATAATTCTGCAAGTTTTAAGTTACTTATGGATAAGGATAAGTGTAGTCCTCAAGTGAAAGTACTAAACGGGGGGAAGCCTAACTACAACAATATTAGGCAGGAACCAGGGAATATTGTTTTTTGTTGGGTGGGGGAGTGTGGGGCTGCTGTTTGAGGGTGAATCTGTATCTGTCATATGGGAATCTTTTTAAGGGCCAGTTGATTTGAGTTCTGGGAAAATGAAGGACGAGGATGGCAAGATTCAGGAACCTTGGCTGACGAGTGAACTCCTAAACTTTTTCAAAAAGAAAAAGGAGGCATATGCAAGGTTCAGGAAACTAAAGACAGACCAAGCCCTTGAAGAATCTGAAAGGAGGTCACAAGTTACACGATACCAGGTTATAGTCCAACAGGTTTATTTGAAATCACAGGATTTTGGAGCACTGCTCCTTTTTGTCAGGTGATGAAGGAGCAACAATCTGAAACCTTGTGATTTCACATAAACCTGTTGCAATATTACCACTTCACCTGACAAAGGAGCAGCACTCCGAAATCCTGTAATTTCAAAAACCTCCTGTTGGACTATAACCTGGTGTCGTGTGACTTCTGACCATGTCCAACACTGGCACCTCCACACCATAAATACAAAAGGAAAGCAGGAAAGAACTTTAAACAAGGAATTAGGAGAACTAAAAGGGGCCATGAAATGTCCTTGGCAAATAGGATTTTAAAAAAAAACCTGGTTTATCTGTATGTAAGTAACAAGAGGGTAGCTAGGCAAAGGGTAATTCCACTCAATGAAAAAGGAGGGAATTTATGCATGAAACCGAATGAAGTGATTGAGATTTTTAACAAGTACTTTGAATCAGAATTAACAAAGGAGAAGGTCAAGATGAATAGTGAGTCTCAGGAGAAGTATGTTGATATTTTAGGGCATGTCAATATTAAAAAAGAGATGTTGGGTGTTTTGAAAACTATTAAGGTAGACAGGTCCCAGGATCTATCCCAGAAGGCTGAGGTAGGGGTGGTGTGGGAGCAAGGGAGGAAATTGCCTGGACCTTGTACGAAATTTTTATACCCTCTTTAGTCACAGGAGAGGTCCCAGAGGACTGATGAATAGCCAACATTGTTCCTTTGTTACATTTTGGAGAAGATTCGTAACAGTATTTATTCGTATTTGGAAAAGTATGGACTTATCAACAATAGGTTGCATGACTTTTTGCGGAGGAGGTAATATCTCAAACTTGATTGAGTTTTTTTGAAGAAGTGTCAAAGACGATGGATGTGGAAGGGCAGTGGATGTTGTCCACATGGACTTGAGCAAGACCTTTACCAAGATCCCTCATAGCAGGCTGACACAGGGGGCAAAGTCACATGGGATCCACAGTGAGCTGTTAAGATGGATATGGAACTGGCTTGGTCATAGAAGACAGAGTAGCTGTGGAGGGGTATTTTTCTGACTGGAGATCTGTCACCACTGGTGTTCCGCAGGGATCAGTGCTAGGATTCCTGTTGTTTGTTATATATAGGTGGTCTGATTTGTAAGGGTGCAGATGATTCAAAGATTGAGGGAGCTGAGGATAGTTGCCAGAGGATACAGCAAGACATCAATAGGTTGGAGACTTGGGCAGAGAAATGGCAAATGGAATTTTTTTATTCATTCATGCAATGAGGGCATCACTGGCTCAGCCAGCATTTATTACCCATCTGACAGGACAGTTAGGAGTCAACCACTTTGCTGTGGGTCTGGAGTAACATATAGGCCAGACCAGGTAAGGATGGCAGTTTTTCTATCCCTAAAGGACAGGAGTGAACCAGATGGGTTTTTCCTGACGATCAGCAATGGATTCATGGTCATCATTAGACGTTAAATTCCAGATTTTTATTGAATGCAGACTCCACCATCTGCCATGGCAGGATTTGAACCTGGATCCCCAGAACTTTGCCTGGGTCTCTGGATTAATAAACTAGTGATAATACCATGAGGCCATCATCTCCCCAACCACAAATTTAATCCAGACAAATGAGCGGTGATGCATTTTGGAAGGTCTAATGCAGTAAATGGTGGAACCCTGAGAAGCATTAACATACAGAGGGATCTAGGTGTACGGGTTCACAGTTCACTGAAAGTGGCAACACAGGTGGATATGGTGGTCAAGAAGATATGTAGCATGTTTGCCTTCATCAGTCAGGGCATAGAGCATAAAAATTGTCAATTCATGTTGCAGCTGTATTGAACTTTGGAGGCTTTGAAGAAGGTACAGAAACTATTTACCAGGATATTGCCCAGTTTGGAAGGCTTAAGCTCTGAGGTGAAATTAGACAAAATTTGTTTTCACTTGAATGTCGGAGGCTGAGGGGTGACTAAATAGAAGTTTACAAAATTGAGAGGCATGCATAGAATGGTTAATTGGAGTGTTTTTCATAGGATAGAAATGTCAATTACCAGGGGCATAGGTTTAAGCTAAAATGGGGTAAGTTTTTAAAGGAGACATGAGAGGCAAGGGTGTTAAGTGCCTGGAATGCACTGCTGGGGGCGGTGGTAGAAGCAGAAAAAATAGCAACGTTTCAGAGGTATCTTGATAGATACATGAATAGGCAGGTATAATGGTACTGTGCCTTTAAGGGAGATATTTTCTGTGCAGTTTCTTTTGCAGAGGGCAATGCCATAGAGGTGTTGAAATGTCTTGTTCAGGCAGGCAGTTGGTAAACAGTATTTGAGTTCTCCTTGGGTGTTTCTTTTTAAAATGAGACAAACGAATAATGAGTGGGCAGGGCCAGGGCTTCCACAGACCCAAGAAGGCTTTTTGTTTTGTTTCAGTTAATGAGAAGACCTCTGCTAACTGCTGAGCAAAAAACTTGAGTTCTTGGCTACTGGAGTGAAGTCTTAGACAGTGAAGCTTCCTCTTAGAAATTAAAAGGGGCAGATTATTTCTATCTTCTGGACTGGAGAGAGGCAGCATGTGAGAACCAGAACTGTTTTGCTGAATTGCATTTTTGCCAAAGGGTGTATTTGTGGGATGCTGCCTATGATATTGGAAGAGTTGATGATTAGTAGTTACATAACACATTATTTTGTTAAGTATTTCAATAAAGTTAAGGTTATGCTTTTTTTTTGTATTTTAACTGTGTAGTAATATTAAAGTGTGTTTTCATTAAAGCCCAGTGGTGGACCAATCAAATCACACTTGGACACAGGACCTTACACTTGTCTTTAAATAAATGTAAAAGTTAGGGTCTAGGCTCTCTCCTTACAATGTTTTGTGGGAGGGGCAGGTTTGGTCTGGTCCATAACACAAGGAATAGAGGGATATGTACTGAGGTGTGGTAGAGTGTTTTTAGTTTAGAAGCATGTCATGTCTTGGTGGGCAGAAGGGCCTGTTCCTGTGCTGTACAGTTCTTTGTTCTTTGTTTTGATAGAAAAAAAATGCCTCTGTCTTAAAAGAGAAATCACTAATTTTTAAACAGTGACCCCAAGTTCTCAACTCTCCAACAAATGGAGACATCGTTTCGACATCTGCCCTGTCAATACCCCTCAGCATCTGTTATGTTTCAATCAATTTGTTCCTTACTCTTCTAACTCCAGTACTTTCAGCCTTGCCCATTCCGGATATTAACCTGGTAAATATGTTCGGAAATGTTTGCAGCATTTTTATATCCTCCTGTGATTAAGGAACTCAATACTATGCATCTTACTCCAGATGTGTTTTGACCAGTACTCTGTATAACAGAAATATAACTTCTCAACTTTAGTTTTCAATTCCTTACAATTAATAACAGCATCCTATTTGCTTTCCTAAGAGTTGATGATTTAGTAGTTAAAGTACGTTCATTGGTACATATTTGCATCACAGAGCTCTCACCATTTAGATAATATGCTTTTGTTTTGTTCTTCCTGCCAAAAAGGACAATTTCACATTTTCCTACATCGTACTCAGTTTGCCAGATCTCTTCTCACACACTCAACCTATTTATCTTGTATCCTCCTCATATCCTCTTCACAACTTACTTTCCTCCGTACCAGCAAAGTTAGCAAACACACCTTCAGGTTGCTTCAACACTTGGATGAAAGATTGGGCAAAATTCTGACAGGTGGAACATACTATAGGAAATGTAATGTAATTCACTTTGGCCGGAAGTATAATGGAAGCAAAATGTTGCTTAAATAGAAAATGACTGCAAAATTTCAAGGAGCAGAGAGATCTAGATGATCTAGTCACAACAGGTTAGTATGCAGGTGCAGCAAGTAATAATGATGACTAATGGAATTCTGTGTTCTTATGAGAGGAATTGAACATAAAAGTAAGGATGCTATACTATAGTTACATAGGGCATTGGTCAGATAACATTGAAAACGTTGCATGCCGTTTTGGTCTCTTTATTGGAAGAAGAATGGAAATGCATTGGAGTTCAGAAAAGGCTTATGAGATTCATAAGGGTGACTAATGAGGATGGATTGGACAAACTAATTTTATTTCTACTGGAGCTGTGAAGAGTGAAGCATGACTTGCTCGATGTATATGAGATCCAGAACAATTTTGACCAGGTGGACTTGAAAAGGATTTCTGTGTTTGCGGGTGAGTCCAGAATCAGGGAGGCAGTGTTTGAAAAATTAGGAGTGGCTCTTTTAGGACATAGGAACAGGATAGATCGTTCAGATCATCAATTTGGACAGGTACATGAATAAGAAAGGTTTAGAGGGATATGGGCCAAATGCACACAAATGGGACTAGTTCAGTTTAGGATGTCTGGTCGGCACAGATGATTTGGGCAAAGGACCTGTTTCTGTACTGTATGACTCCATGGCTCTATCTAAGCCTACTGTACCATTCAACACAATCATAATTGGTCAAATACTTCAAAGTCTTTTATTCACACTATCCCCATTTCACTTTATGTCATTGATAATCAAAAATTTATCAACCAGTAATTAGACTTAGCTCCACTTCTAGGTAGAGAATTCCAAGGATTCACAACCATCTTTGTAAAAATATTTGTCCTCATCTCGGTTCTAAATGGCATCCCTTTATTTTTAAATTATGTCTCTTGGTTATAGATTTGTGAACCAGGGAAAATACCTGCATCATCACCATCTATCCTTTTGATTGATTATATTGTAGCTTTCAATGAGATCACCTTTCATTCTTTGAAACTCCAGAGAATACAGGCCCAGTTTACCCAATCTCTTTTCACAGGACAGTCCCAAAAATCCTGGGATTAAGTCTGGTGAACATTAGTTGCACTCTGTGTCCATGGCAATAATATCTTTCCTGAGATAAGGAGACCAAAACTATACACAATATTCCAGGTGTGGTCTAACCAAGCTCCTATACATTGGAGCAAATCTTCACTATTCCTGTACTCAAATCTTGTTGCAATAAAGGCTGATATTCCCCTATCCTTCCTTATTGCTTGCTGCAGCTGCATGTTAGCTTTTAGTGACTTAGTGATAAGGACACTGTAGTCCCTTTGCACATCTACACTTTTGAAACTCTTACTATTTAAGAATTACTGTGCCTATGTGTTCTTTCTACCAAAGTGAATAACCTCTCAATTTTCCACATTATATTCCCATCTGCCGTGTTGTTGCCTTATAAGCCTGTCCAATTCCTCCTCAAACATTTATATCATCTTCATAACATACATTTCTGCCTAACTTTATATTATCTGCAAATTTGAAAAAATTGCCTTTGATCCCCCTATCCAAATCATTGATATGTATTGTCAACAGCTGGGTGTCAAGTATTGATCCTTGTTGCACAGTCACAGTCCACCAATATGAAAACGACCCATTTATTTCTATTCTTTGTTTCCTGTTTGTTGCGTGACTTGGAAACTCTTGCAGTGGAATCGGGATCATTCAAAATTTGTTAGGCAGGAACATCAAAGGTAATTAGGAGTAGATTTAAATGTGGGATTTGAAACACAAACATGATCCTATTGAATGGCAGAGAAAGCTCAAGAGACTGTACTGTATTGGCTACCACTGCACCTAATTAATTTATTCATTTGTACATATAGTACCGTAAATGCGTCAAAGAAAATAAAACCATGGTGTTTTAGTAAATTAATACAAATGCAATTTTACTCAATGTCAGAACTAAAATAAATCACTTTGCAGCTATTCAATAGAGTCATGAGGACCATTTGTAATGATGAAAAGAGTCAACTATACATCTGCAAAAACTTAATTTCTACATTTTTTCCAGCTATCAACATAAATTGAAAGCGGCTTCAGCAATGACTGCCACAGTTATGACCTCTGTGAAAAGTAATCCTGTGATTGCTGATGTACCTGGAACAAATATGCACACTTCTGAAGGGTAATGGAAAAGATTAATTTCATTGGTTATCTGGGTAGAATATTGAGACACTACTGCACTACGAGCAAGCAGTGAGATACAAGCTAATACCGGGCTAAACTTGCAGAAATAACTGCATTTGAGCAATGCCCACCATCATTAATTTGTTAACCAGTTAGCAACCTGGACTGAGGAAGAGATACCCAATAAATCACTAACTGTCACAAGTTGTTTCTGATTTGGGCCATTCTACCACTGGCATTGCCTAAATGACAACTCACAGTTAACTTTGTATGAGTTTCATGGGGTTTCTGTATTTGCATATTAAATGACTATCACAGCAAGTTAACAGAGTGAGCACTTTATTAGCAATGTGATGATTTGAACATTGCTGATAAGTTGTCGAGGCATTTTTGTCTTGTCCTCATCAAGACAAACCTGAGAATTGCCAGAATTCAAACAATTACACATAACTGTTTATATTACAGGAGAGAGGGGGGCTGTTTAGTTTTTCAAATCAACTCTGACAAATTGAGGCATTGCCATCGAGAAAGTATAGGAAACTATAGGCTCCCGAAACTCCCAAGCGATTCAAAAAAGAGGATGTAAGATCTGAATATATTCCTGTTGTTTGCAGAGAATGGATTCCCACACATGAATCTGTTCTAGCAAGTGTAAGTGACCAACAATACAAGCTCAAGTCATTATCTTAACTTGGTTGTTAATGTTGGTATTAGAACACCCAGGATTGTTCAGCAAGTGCTGGTAGATTGCAGAACCACATGACAATTTTGTTTTGGGTTTTCCAAGCATGGGTTGCTTGAGTTGATTTTGTATTTTGCCTTATATGAAGAGCAGTGGGAATGTATTATTGCATTCAAACAGCAAATCACTGTACAACTGACAATACTAGCATCACTGCCGCTGAAATTCATACCTGACGTTGCTCTATTATGTGGTAGACAAAACATAATAATTATTGTTATTGTCTGCCAACAAGCTCTCTTTCCAAGAACTAAGTGAGTATAAGTGCAGAATCTGATTCCTTCAGGTTGTGAATTATTTTAGGAGACTTTGAAAAGGCCAAATTCACGGTTTTTATCTAACTTTCCTTCTCGTTTGCCTGTTAATCCACTATTTTATCCCTCAATCTTTCCTGAGAATATAGCCCAGAGGTATATTCCATACACAGAGTGCTGTTTTGAGGTCATGACACCTAGAACATCCTGCAGTTTTAACAATTAAGATTCCTTTAAAGTATTTTTTTTGTCGGGTTTCTGGGCACAGGCAGTCAAATTCACTGGCGATTATTGAATAGTGCTTCATTGTCACCGGGTCAAAATCCTGAAACTCCCTTTTTATAACAAAATATAAATGTTGTAGCTACAGCATATAGTTCAAGAAGGCAACTCACTATCACATTCTCAAGGACAGTGGGATGGGCAATAAATCTTGGTGCAGCCAGGGATATCCACATCCTGAAAAAGAATTTTGATAAAGGCACATCAGACAAGGAATCCCATAGCGGAAGGCAGCAGCCCAGGAGAGTAAACAGGATTAGTATTTGCAGGAGGTGGGTTCCAGATGAGGGGCGGTCCTAAACATAGCGGTCTCCTGACTGGGGGTGGGGGTGGGGGGGAGTTGGTGGTGGTCAGTGGTGCTTGGGGTATCTGCTGGTGGCAGGGATATGACTGTCATGAGGATTCCAAAGCCAATCAAATGGGTGAGAAAAGGGGAACCCACTGAGTAGATGTTAATCTGGGGAAAGACAGCGTGTGGGGGGTGGAGAACAAATTGATCATGTTTTTAAATGGATAGCTTGTTTGGCTTTCCCTGATCGCCAAGCCCACAAACCGTGCTATAAAGGTTCTTAGCTGAAGGATTTAACCCTCAAGTTAAGAATAGAATGTGTTGTGTTGAAGGCAGGTAGCCTTGTTATGATGTTTACAAGACCAACTCACTTCCTGTAATTCAGTTGGATGTCTGCATCTCGTTGGTGCACTGTTAGAAATGGTTGTATGTGAATGGGTCCCTTCTCAAATTTTTTGGAATTTAACCTCTGAAGTGACACCAATAACCTTGTTTTAGGAGATGAGATTAATTCCTTTTAATTCTTTCATTGAATCCAATTTGGAATTGAATTCGACCTACTTTAACTAACCTTCTTTCTCAGTCTGTATTTAGATCAAAATCCTTAAATATCATTTTTTAAAAGAAATTGCAGAGTCTGGTGTTTATAGGAAATTAAAGGGGCATGCTTTAATGTTTGAGGAACCCAGTCAAATAACCACATTGTTGTACTCTAACAGGGCACAAAAGGAGAGGGAACACTTGAGCAACAATTGGATCACTGTAAAACTGCAGGCAAACTGCTCAAGATTCTCCACATAGATGAAGGAACAAGAACTGTGGACACCCACTGTGTGTGCGAAACAAAGAAACTATTAAGTATTGGTATTTCAAAAGATGTTAGTCTACTCATGGAAGTTGTGCAGAAAGTTAGCATGCAGGCTGAACAAGCAATTAGAAAAACCAATAACATGTAGGATTTTATTGCAGGGTAATTGGAGTACTGATACAATTATACATGGTTTTGGTGAGACCACTTGTGGAGGACTACATGCAGTTTTGTTCTTCACATTTAAGAAAAGATATACGTACATTGAAGATAGTAAAGCAAAGGTTCAGTAAAGTAAATTTAGTCTCTGTGGTGAAGGAGTTTTCATATCATGAAAGGCTGAGCAAACTGGATCTATGTTCTTTTGAGTTTAGAAGACTGAAGGGTGATCACATTGGACAGAAAAAAAACAAACTCTAAAGGGGCCTGACAGGGTAGACGCTGAGAGATTGATTCCTCTGGGCAGGAATCAAAATCACCAGGGGCATAGTGTCAGGAGAAGGGGCTGATCATTTAGTACTGAGATAAGGAGACATTTCTTCACACACTCATTGTGGGTGTTTGGGAACTCCTTGTACCAGAGTATTGTGAAGTCTACAATATCATTGAACATGATTAGAACTAGGAAAGACAGATTTTTGGTCTAACATGGAAGCAATTGTTTTTGGCAATGGGAAAAGACTAAAGTTAGATCCCTTGATCCATTATGATCATATTCAATGGTGGAACAGGCTTGACAGGCCATATTGTCTACTCATGCCCCTCTTTCTGATTTTCTTGCAGTTCATCTCGTGCAGGTACACCCACTGTGTTGTTGGGAAAGGAGTTCCAAGATTTTGACACAACCACAGTGAACAAACAACGATATAGTTTCATGTCTGGATGGTGCAAGGTTTGGAGGGGAACTTGGAGGTAGTGATGTTGTCCATGCATGTACTGTCCTTGTTGTACTAGGTGGAAGATGTTACAGGTTTGGAAGATGCTGTTGAAAGAGTCTTGATGAGTTACTACACTGTAAATGCTGCCACTGTGCTTTGGAAGTGGCGAGAGTAGATTTGGTAGTTGGAGGGATAGGATGAGGCTGTTGATGGGGTACAAGTCAAATGGGCTGGTTTGTTCTGGATGGTATTAAGCTTCTTGGGTGTAGTGGACCCTGAATTCATCCAGGCAACTGGATAGTATTCCATCCTGCTAGCATCTTGCAGATGGTAGGTGGGCTTTGGTGAGTCAATAAATGTTATAATGAGCAGAATTCTTAGCTTCTGATTTGAAGTTCTAGGTCTAGTCCATTTTCTAACCAGTGGTATCTCCCAGATGTTGACAGCTGTGGATTTGGTGAGGGCAATGCTTTTGAATGTTAAAGGGAGATGGTTAGATTCACCCTCGTTGTAGAGCGTCATTACTTAACACTTGTATAGCAAGAATGTTACTTGCCCAAACCTGAATGTTTGTTCAAATCTTTCTGCAAATGCCCATGGACCTTTCTCGGTATTTGAGGAGTTGTGAATGGTTCCGAACTCTGTGCGATCATCAGTGAACAAATTAGCTTGTAGCCCTATGATGGAGGGAAAACCATTGAAGCTGCTGAAGGTGGTTGGGCCGAGGACACTATTTTGAGAAAACAGTTGTAGAAATGTCCTTGGAATGAGATCACTGACCTCCAACAAGCACAGCCGTCTTTCTTTATGCCAGGTACGATTCCAACCTGTGGAGAGATTTTCCCGATTCTCATTGACTCCAGTTATAATAGGCCTGCTCAATGCCACACTCAGTTAAATGCTGCCTCCATATCTAGGGCAATCATTCTTTTCTAACCTCTTTAGCTCATATCTTTTGTGCATGTTTGAACCAAGGCTGTAATGTGGTCAGTAGCCCTGATAAAATTCCGATTGAACATCAATGAGTAGGTTATTGTTGTGAAAGTTTTGCTTGACCATACTGCTGGTGACATCGTTCATCACTTGGATGATTGCGAGTACACTGATGGAATAGTTAATTTGTCACGTTGCTAGGACATATCTGGACAATTTTCCACATTGCAGTTGGGTGCCAATGTTGGAGCTGTATTTGGACAAAACAGTGGAAAATCGACGTTGAATCTCCTGCTTCAATTCAGTTTCCGCTGATGGATTAATTAAACCCCCTTATTCATTGGGGAGTTTTTGTTTGATGTATTTTGGAGAAATTTTACTTTAGTAGCAGTGCAGAAGAGAGGGAAGCAATGTATCTACAATACTGTTAGACAGTGACCAGAGGAATTCTTATTCCACCAATACTGCCATATGTAGGGCACTGCACTGATGTTACAATATTGATGTGCCTTTTAACTGTTAGTTTAATCGTAAGGAAATCATTCTGTTCTATATGTTTCTTTAGATCCAACCCAATCTGGAATAAAACACTGTTCAGCGAAACAAGCAGCAATTTCAATGAAGAATCTTGTTTGGACAAGAAAAGGTTTATATTTTCATTTCTTTCAAATTCAGAAACTGGAGTCTATCCTTAAAATTACTTCATTTACTATGTTGCCAAAACTAACAGTTATGTAATATGTTATGAATGCAGTTTGAACTCTCTTGATGATAATGTCGTTGCTGATGAGAAGGATTACTTTAATATTCGAAAACCCGGCAAGTACAAAGACCAGGTAATTTCATATATTATTGAAAGGATGATTATTATTTCACAGTCTTGCTGTATTAATAGCCAGCACATTTAATATAATGAAATGTGATTTTTCTGTCTATCTTTTGTTTATACAAGTCATGGGATGTGAACATTACCAACAAGGTCAGTATTTGTTGCCTGTTGATGTTTGCCCTTGAGGAGGTGATGTTGGTGAGCTTCCACTGTTGCAGTCCATGTGGTGAAGGTATCTTCTAGCAGGAAATTCCAGGATTTTGACCCAACATCAATGAAGGAATGGTTTGGAATGGTCCCACATCAGGATGGTGTACGGCTTGGAGGGGTGTTCAAGATGGTGATGTTCAAGGCACATGCTCCCTTGTTCTTTTGAGTGGAAGAGTTCGCAGATTTTTGAAGTGTTACCAAAGAAGCTTTGGCAGAATCCAGCAGTGCATCCTAAAGATGGTAAATGCTGCTGCTGCTAGGGTGCAGTAATAGTGAAAGGTATGACTTTAAAGTGCTGGACCGGGGTGCCAGTCAATTTGTCCTGGATGATGTTGAACATCTTGAATGGTGTTAGAGCTGCAGTCATCCAGGCATGTGGAGGTATTCCATCACAACAGGTGGTAGGAAAGGAGTGAGCCACTTCCTACTAGAAAACCCTGCCTTTGATACGTTTTGTGTTAATGCAGCTAAGTATCTGGTCAATGGTGATCACACGATATTGATAAAGGCAAAATACCACAGAAAATTTGGAAATTTGAAACAAACACAGAGAATGCTGAAAAAATCAGCATCTGTGGAGAGAAAAACACAATTAATGTTTCGAGTCTGGTATGACTCTTCTTCAGAATTGAAGATATTATGGAGATAACTAGGATACTGATGGCTGGGGACTCAGGAATGGCAATGACACTGAATATAAGAGGGAGTTATTAGATCGCCTCTTGGTGGAAATTGTCGTTGTCTCGCACCTGTGTGGTGCTAATACTACTTTCCACTGACAGCCAAAGCCCAAATGTTGTCTAGGCCTTAGAACATAGAGGCACACACTAATTCCTTATCTGCAGTGTTGTCAAATGAACTGAGCAATATTAGCAAATATTTATTATGCCAACAGAGTGGTCATTGATGTGAGCTGAAGATGGTTGGATGTAGGATATTTCCCTGAGGAACCCTTGCAGAAATATCTTGGAGCTGACATGATTGGCCTCCAAACAACCATGACTATTTTCCTTTGAGGCCTGACCCCAGCCATCGGAGACTATTTCCCCTGATTTCCATGATTGCAATCTTAACAGGGCTCCTTAATGGCACAGTCAGTCTAACGTTGCCTTGATTTTAAGAGCAGTCATTTTCATTTAGCCTCTGAAATTCTGCTGTTTTGTCCTTGTTTGGGCTGAGACTGCAATTTGGCCTGAAACCAAGCGATTCTTTCAGAATCCAAACTGAGCACCAGTGAGTGGGTTCTCAGGAATGTTCATTGGACCTGAAACTTTAACTGCCAGACTGGCTGAGCTTTTCCAGCAATTTCAGATTTTGTTTCTGATTTCTAGCAGCCGCAGTTCTTTCAGTTTTTATCAGTGAGCGGGCAATTGCTGTGTAGGTGCTACTTGATAGGACTTTCGACAAAATAATTAATGATGATCAAGAGTAGGCTGATGGGTCAGTAATTGTATGAATTGGATTTATTCTGTTCTTTGCAAACATTAAAGGCATTAGTGAATTTACAAACACAGCTTAATACTAACAACAGAATAGCAGAAGTAGGGGTTTCCCACAAACAGATTACTATGTGCAATTCACATGAGACAGTCCGATTTCACCCTGATTGTTTTTTCAATTTGGATAGTTTTAATGAAACTTTTATCAGTGAAACTGGAAGCAGTTTTACACATATCTGCACTTCTCAATTAGAAACCTGTGCCGTTGCTTTGGGGAGATTGAGGAGCTCTGCCAAACCACTTAGACTTTGAAGGCTGTTATATACCATCATGGGTGGGATCTTCCCAGGCCCTGAGCAATGTGGACTATACTGAGACATTTAGAGCAAACATGTAAGAAGTTGAGTGAGGCCTTTCTCAATGTTAGGAGCAACAAGTTGCATTTCCCAACTAAATTCTGGATGTCCAGCTGAGATATTCACCAGTGAGTGGCGAGAGGCCTGTTGGCAGGGATTATAAGATATAGGAGCAGAATTAGGCCATTTGGCCTGCCAAGTATACTCTCCCTCATGATCACAGCTGATATGTTTCTCAACCCTACTTTCCTGCCTTCTCCCCATAACCCTTGATCCCCTTACTAATTAAGAACCTATCTATCTCTGTCTTAAATACATTCAATGACTTGGCCTCCACAACGTTCTATGGCAGTGAGTTCCACAGATTAACCACCCTATGGCTGAAGAAATTCCTCCCTGTCTCAACTCTGAAGTGTCGTCCCTTCACTTTGAGGCTGTGCCTTGGGTCCTAGTCTCTCCTAATAGTGGAAATATCTCCACGTCCACTCTATCCAGGCCTCTCCGTGTTCTGTAAGTTTCATTGAGATTCCCCCTTCATTCTTCTAAGCTCCTTTTGAAGACAGACCCAGCATCCTCAACTGCTCCACATATGACAAGCTCTTCATCCCCGAAACCTTCTTTAGGCCCAAACAACACCAGCGCATCTTTCCTTAGATACAGGGCCCAAACCTGCTCACAATATTCCAAATGTCGTCTGACCAGAGATTCATACAGCCTCAGGAGTACATCTCTGCTGATGCATTTTGGCCCTCTTGAAATGAATGCTAACATTGCATTTGCCTTCTTAACTGCTAACTGTACCTGCATATTAACATTAAGACAATGCTGAACTCAGTAACGTGCCTCAGATTTCTGAAGCCTTTTCCCATTTGGAAAATAGTCTGTGCCTCTATTCTTTCTACCAAAGTGCTTAACCTTGCTTCCCCACATTGTATTCCATCTGCCACTTCCTGGCCAACTCTCCTGGCCTTCTGCAGCCTACCTGCTTCCTTAATACTACCTGGCCCTCCACCTATCTTTTTGTCATCTGCAAACTTAGCAGCAATGCTCTCAGTTCCTTCATCCAGGTTGCTAACGTATAACATGAATAGTTGTGGTCCCAATACGGACACCTGAGGAACTCCACTAGTCACCCACTGCCATCCTGAAAAAGACCCCTTTTCCCCACTCTCTGCCTTCTGCCAGGTAGCCAATCCTCGATTCATGTCAGTACCTTGCCCCAAAACCATGGACTCCTGACTTATTGAGTATCCACTTTTTCAAAGCTTTCTGGAAATCCAAATAGATCACATCTGCTGGCCCTCCTTTGTTTAACTTGCTCATTACCTCCTCAAAAAATTCTAAAGTTCCCCTTGACAAAGCTGTGCTCACTCACTCCTTATTTTACCTTGTACTTCCAAGTACTTTGCAATCTCATGCTTATAATAGGCTCTAAATCTTACCAATGACTGAGGGTCAGGCTAACTGGCCTAAGATTTTCTGACTTCTGCCTCCCTCCATCTTTAAACAGGGGTGTTACATCAGCCATTTTACAATTCTCTGGGACCCTCCCTGACTCCAGTGATTCCTGAAAGATCAACTCTACAATCTCCTAAGCTATTTCTGTCAGAACCCTTCGGTGTAGTCCGTTCGGTCTGGATGATTTATCCACCTTCAGACCTGTCAGCTTCCCCAGCACCTTCTCCTTTAATGATGGCCACTACATTCACCTCTGTTCCCTGAGTCTCTTGAAGTTCTGCTGTGCTTCCACTGTAAAGACTATGCAAAGTACGTATTCAGTTCCTCCGCCATTTCTTTTATTCTCGATTTTACTACTTCTCCAGCTTGGCCATCATCATCATTGTAACTTTATTAAGCCTCATTAACTGGTAGGCTCCAATTTTACCACCTATTGGATAGAAACTAGAAAGTCAGAGTGGGTCTTGGACACCCAGCATCAGTGCCTCAGGCACACTCCTTGGGCAGCAGCCACACACACACACCCCATGCCCACAGGCACTGGCATCCGACACATGCTAGCCTCTCCACATCATCATCATGGCACATCTTACAATGCACAGTACTGCCCCAGCACTTTGGACAGCACTGGCGCCTCTCATTGAAAGACCCCTGCAAGGGCAGTCTCTGCACAGAGACAGGCACCCAGCTCATGACTGGAACAGATTGCCTCGCAGAGCTGCTGGCTTGCTCTCTGAGCATGCACTCACTTTAATCCTTCTTTGATGTTGACAGCATCCCAGTTTTGTCTTGCCTTTTATTGCTTTGCTTTCTCAACCACACTTTAAAGGCTCTCAGTGCTTCTGCCTTACCATGCAGTTTAGCACAGGCACAAAGCCAGGCAGTTTGTCATTCTGTCAATGTGTCATTATGTGATAGAGTACTACAGCCGAGAGAAAGGTCCTTTGGCCCATAGTGCCTGTGTTGGTCATCAAGCGCCTATTTATTCTAATCCAATTTCCCAGCACTTGGCCTACAGTCTTGTATGCAATGGCATTTCAAGTGTACATCTTGAATGTAGTGATGGTTCCTGCCTCTACACCTTTTCAAGCAATGAGTTCTAGAAACCCACCATCCTCTGGGTAGAAAGAATCTTTCCTTAAATCCCCTCTAAATCTCCTGCACTTTATCTTAAACCTGTGTCCCCTGATAATTAAAACCCACTACTAAGGGGAAACGTTTACTCCTAATTATGTCCTATAATTTTGTCACTCGGGACCCCCTCAGCATTCTCTGCTCCACGGAAAACAGCCCCAGCCTGCAGAGAAAATCTACTGTAGGTTCAGAGAGAAACCTTCTATGAAACTTGCTGAAAATAATCCTGAACCAAAAGATGGAAAAATTCAGCACCAAATCAATCCTTCTCCAGTGATGTGAGAGATAGGGAAAGTTGTCCTAGTATGAGAAAGCTGCTCACAATTGGTGGGGAGTTTAACCTGAGGGTTGCCACACCTCAGGTGAGGGTGAGGCACTGATGCTGGGTGTCCAAGACAAGAGATCTAGGTACCCCCTCTGACTGAGGCTGAGAAGATGAAATTCATGGTGACCTTAGCCAGTGTTGGCGCCACTCTGCATCACAAGCCAGCTGTCCAGGATGTGAGAGATATAGTGATAATTTATCGCTGCCTGCCCTTCTCAACCTGTCTATAACTTCGACCAAGCTGAATACACAATCTCACTCTTCTATCCCTTCCCTATTGTCTAGCTGGATGGGCTGCACTCACCTGATTCCATTCCTATCTATCTCACCCTAGCCAAAAACATCATGTGCAATGGTTTTTCCTCCATCCAGCTCTTGTATCTTACCCTCTGGTCTCCCTCAAGGATTGGTTCTTTCCTATTTCTTAGACACCTGCTGTTCTCAGTGACATCATCCAAAAGCACATTGACAGTTTCTGCATGTACGCTGATGGCACCCAGCTCTATCTCAACATCATCCCTCTTGACTGCCCCATTGTCTCGAAATTGTCACTCATCTTGTCTGAAACCCATTACTGTTGGTGAGGCATGGAATCATAGAAACAGAAAATAGGACCAGGAATAGGCCATTTGGCCCTTTTGAGTCTTCACAACTATTCAGTCCATGGTCATACAATTTCTGTATCCCACTGTCAATTTCCCTCCATATCTCTTGATCCCTTTAGCCACAAGGATCCCACTGGCTCACTTTCAGTTGCTGTTGGGATGCTGGCTCCATGAAGCTGCCAGAATCAGCACTCGCTCTGATGCTAAGGGGATCTCCCTTCCTGAGCCACCTAACTACAAATTATTGGCTACCTGTCAGTTACTCTTGATAACCAGTTCCAACAAGATGCCTGGAGGCAGAAATTCTTATTTTCTTATTGCTAGTGTGCCTTTAATTTTGTTGGCCTGAAGTTTGGAATTGGTTGTTTTGTTGTGTTGACAATGCTATCAAAATTGATCTTAATTGCAATATTGTGTCGCGGAAATTTAGGTCAGCAAAGGTCATGTGGAAACATTGAACGTGTTCACGGGATCATGGATGTATAATGGCCCAGAAAGAGACCATTCATCCCATCGTGTCTGTGTCAGCTCATGGAGTGAGCATCATTACCGACCGCCAATCTCTTGTTTTCTCCCCATACGCTCTTTCCCCACATCAAAACCGTTGACATAGATTAAATTATGGATCATCTAGACATAGCTTTCTGGCCCCAATTTTCCTCCTATTGTTATCAATAGACAGAATATTGTAGACAAAACCTTCCTGATTTTCCAGTCGGCCACACAGTGTCTGAGGCCCACCAATGGTGTTGCTAACTTGAAAAATTCCCCTTGTCAGTCTCACCAATGTAGATGAAGAATATTTTATGTAATTTATTTGTGTTTACAAAACATTCAGCTAAGATCTTTTGAATCCAATTCTTGTGTTTAATTACATCATGTGCTTTTTTCACTTTATATTAATAACTGTTTTCTCACTTGTAAATTTAAACAGGATATTTTGAAAGGTGCTCAAGAAAGGGATGTGAAAAATTCACAGCAGATGTTATCACAAGACTTCCTTTCAGTGGCTTTAGCATCACATGAAGAACACAAATTTATGGAAAAGTTGGAATGTGGGAAGATAGGATATTTGTTCAGTAACAAGAGTCTGAAATGTACCGATCTGTAAATCAAGAAAGTTGCACCATTACAAATTCAGTGGCTTTATGGTGCTGACATGAAATCATAACTCTAGCTGCACAGGTAGGAATACTTAACCCTTGAAGTTGGGTTAGTAGCTTGGGCAGTTAGTTTTTTTTTAAATTCAAGTGACGTTTCCTTAAACCAATGTTCACATTGCTATAATATGTTATTAATATGCACATTTTCCTGCAGATTCTAAATAGCAGTCAGCAACTATGCTCCCCTCAGCCTGGAACACTCTAACCAACTGTAGCACTGAATTACTGTCTTGGCAAAGATTAGGCCAATCAGCTTGTACCATGGGCTGTATAGGCTGTGCTGTTCAAATTTACACCAGACCACATTAGCCATCATGAAAGAGTACATTTTGATACTTCATTCAGGTTATTATTAAGGTACCTGTTCTCAGAACAAAAACAGTCACAATATTTGCTTTCATATTTTGCTGTTCGGCTTTCAAAGTTTACTTTGGTATGTGGGCCTCACTGGCAACAGTGAAAGTTTATAGTGTACTATTAATATTTGGAACTTGGGTTTTTGGTTTTTAGTTCTGTGACTTTTTTAAAATGGTCAGAAGTTTCTTTTAGCTTTGGGTCAAAATAGACTTTCCAAGAAATTGTGCAACGATAGCTTAAATGACTAGAGAAACTGCCTGCTGGGATAATTGCTGAATTGTTTATTAAGTTGAGCTTTTATGACATTGGGAAAGAAAAGGAGGGGCCAGAGGCCAGAAGGCGTTTCAGTTCAGAAGATTCATGCCAGTAGATGTTTTGTTTAATCGCAAAGTAGTATAAGTCAAAGAAAGGGCAGTGAGTTAGCCTAACTAGTGAGAGTGCAGAAAGTCACCAAATGGAAATGCTTGTGAGCTTATTGTTTGAGTAACAAAGCAAACAGTGTAGATTAGAGTGATACTACACTTGTGTTGAATATCTGTATAGGATATTGCTGGGGAAAATGGGTTGAATTTTTCTTTCTTGCTGTTTATGATTAGTTCCTGTTAACTTATCACATATGTATTTTATATGTAAAATATATATACAGCTTTCTTTCATTTTTTCCAATGTAAGACACTTATGTTATTTTATTAAAAGTATATTGGCAGCTTCATGTGAATATGTTGAGTTACTGACCACCATGGTAGCCAGATTTCAAAAATAAATATAATCTGAGATTAGGTTTCACTCTGAGACCTGACTTGCTCTGTATTACTGTCAGCTGAGATCATAACAATATTACATTTGTACACATCACTGGAAATGAAGCCCTGCTGTTCCCAAAGTCAAAAAAGAAGTTAAAGATTTTATAAAAAGTACACAGAATTCCCCAATTTCCCTGTTATTAGACCCAGGTTGACAGAAAGCACTGATCAGTTTTCTGTACTTAACAAGTATTACTACTAGTTACAAATAAATAGATTCAAGCTGCAGGTAAGTAATTATGAACCTGCAAATAACTCTAATGGCTAAAATTCTAACCCGTTATAAAATTCCCACTACACAGACATACAGACAGATGCAGACACAAATGGGTTTAAGAGGTGGATGTAAACTCTGGGAAGGAAGTTCAATGGTCCCTGTAGAACAGGTTTTGCGTGACATGATCCTTTTGGCTTGTCAAGACCTACTGCTCCTTGATCTCTCTCTTTCTCCACATACTGTCACTTGCTTGCAGGAGGCACAGAGGGGTGGTTCACACTTTTAAATCTCTGATTTATAGGTTAAAAGCCACTGCTTATGGCAACTGGTAAGGGTGGGGGGGCAAATAGGCTGGCTAGATTAGCTTTTTCCTTTTCTGAGTTCCAATGGCTACTGTCCAAACATTCACACCCACAAGCTGTTCAGCTACCTGGGAACCAATCATGCAGTTGTTGGCAGGCAGAATGCCACTGTCATCAATAACTGGTCAGTATTCTATAGACCATTAGCTACTGTTGTTGCTGGTGAAGTTCCTTTTGATACTCCCTTCCCCCTATCCTCAGCTCTCGCCCATCTGCAACTAAACTTTAACCACCGCTTGAACAAACAGCAGTGTAAACAATACTTACAATAAGTGCTGGCAGCTTGGTTTTGACAAAGGCAGCAATCCCTTTTACAATTCTTGGTTTTTAAAAAAACAGTCCTTTTCTGATTCCAATCCACAATCAGAAATACAGAAAAATGAAAAGGTTTTTACAATCTTTAACATAATAAAGCATCTTGAAGGTGCTTCACTGAAGCATTATCAAACCAACCGTGATACCAAGATGCTTGAGGAGGTATTAGTGCAAGTGAGCAACAAGTTTAGTCAAAGAGATCGGTTTTCAGAAACTCAGTAAGTAGATGAGAAAGGTAGAGAAGTGGAGAGGTTTAACAATGTTTAGAACCCCAGCAATGAGGCAGGTATAAAAATCAATGTTCCAGAATAAGAAAAGAAATAAAAACAGAAGTATAGACCACAACCCCTCAGCTCTGTTCCATTGTTCAATGCACTCAATGTGACCTTAGTCTTCAACTCCACTTTACCAACTACTCCCCATATTCCTTAATTCCCTGACAGACCAGTCATTCTCTTGATTTCATCCTCAAATATAGTCAACAATGAAAGATCCATAGTCCTCCGAGCTACACATTTCTGAAGATTTAGATTACTCTATGGGAAGAAATTTCACTTCATCTCTGTCCTAAACTGAAAATCCCTTACTCTGAGACTGTGCCCCATGTTCTAGGTTCCTTAGTCAAAGAAAACAACCTCTTAATGCCCACAATGTCAAACCCCTTCAGAACCTTGTACACTTCAATAAGTTTACCTCTTATTCTTCTAAACTCCAGAAAATATGAGCCTAATTTATTCAACCTCCTATCCAAAGTTAATGCTCTCACCTCAGGATCCTGTCGAGTGAACCTTGCTGTATCACTGTGCATTGCAAAATACTTTTCCAATATGAAACAATTTTAACATGAACCCAGTGCCAACTGAAGTAATGCAGTATAGTATTATTCAGCATGTACCCATTAACATTTGCATTTTATAGATCACCATGTACAGCATCATATAAATATGAAAATCTCTGTGTTTAGGGAAATGCACGTGAACATACAGTCAGAAGCAAGAATGAACTATTTGGACCCTCCTTTACTCCACCGTTCAACAAGATCATGACTGATATGATTTTAACCTCAATCCATATTCCCAATTACCCTGATAACATTTTACATTCTTACTTACTAAGAAAGTAACCACCTCTACCTTAGAATTATTCAAAATCTCTGCTTCCACTGTGTTTTGAAGAAGATCCTGCCAGGAAAGCACATCTTCTAACAGAGGAGGAGTGCAATTGTGCTTTGTGTGCTGACTGACTTGCTGTAGACATGAGATAGTTATCACTTTAATGCCTTTGTGAATGGCGCATAGCAGCAATTAAACACACATCACTTGTACAATGGCGTCAGAAATAAAACAACTGCAAATATGTGAATATTCAGAGCCTTAAGAGTCCCAGCTACTGAAAGAACAGCAAGAGAGAAGTAAAATATATCAGTTTGTAACTATGAGTTACGATGTGGGTCAAAATGGCAGGGAATGTCCTGTTCCTCACTGATGGCAAAATGAAAGGAGAACTTAAATAAAACTCAAAAGTATGAAATTACTGCTGAATTAATGTTTTTAAAAAATCCTAGCATATAAGTGTTCAACCCTACTTTCAATGCTGGGGAAATATTGCTACAAGTTATATTGCTGACTGGATCTTACTGAGGAGCAGAAAGCCCAGGCTGCAGGATGGAATTTTCTGGAGCTTTTTGAAATGTGGTCAGAAGAAGTAATAGGGTGGGAGGCAAACTTTCTATTTCCTGTCTGTGGCTTTAAGGTCTGGTACTAAGCTTTCAGATCTTTTCAGGTGGGTCAGGTTTCCTGATCATGATCGACTCAATCTATTTTGCATACATTAACATTTAATGAGTACTCATTAAGACCCCAGACCCTTAGAATTACACTCACAGACACAAACTTATCAATCAAAAGTGGGAAACATGTCTGTTCACAAACCAATTTTATATATATGAGGCATGTACCTGGCAGGGTAGACATCTTCCTTCGAGCTCCAGTGAGAAAAATTGTCTCCACTGAATTGGCTCTAAAATATGCTTTTTTTCTGCAAATGCTTGTAATGTTCAGGGTGATTCCTCTCCATGTTGATCAGCTTATAAAGCATCACAATTATATGCATTGTGGCTTGCTTACTGGACAATAAATATTAGTCTAATCCAGGAAAGGAATTTTTAAAAACAAATCTTTTTGAGAAGCCAGAAGAAACAGGAACATTCCTCTCGATTACACAAAATTCCTAGCAGCTGCTACTGACAAATACTTGGCTTTATCTGCTCCCATAGCCTTTGGGAATATATATAGTTTTGTCCAGTTGACAAGCTATATTCAGGGAGCTTTCCTCAGACCTGTATCCCAAAGGCTGCTGAAACTGGTTCAGGCCTCAGGCTGGCACAGGCTGCATTCAGCAATAACTCCACCAACTTGCCACATATTGCCAATGCAAGTTAGATTTCTCTAAAAGAAAGAATAAAGAACTAGCGTGGTCTGCATTATTTTATGTATTGGGAGTGATAACGATGGTTTCATTCACTGCTGTCTATCAAATACTATTCATTCAAATCTTTCATTTAAATAAAACTATTCCTAGTTGATGTCTCATTTACAAAGAGTGGAAATTTAACACATTTTTGACAAAAATCACTGCATGACGACATACGAAACTTTAAGTAATTAGAACATAGAACAGTACAGCACAGTACAGGACCTTTGGCCCACGATGTTGTGCTGACCTATTATCCTACTAAGATCAATCTACCCTGCATACTCTACATAATACTATCATCCATGTGCCTATCCAAGAGTCACTTAAATGTCTCTAATGTATCTGACTCCACTACCACTGACAGCAGAGCATTCCACACGCCCACCATCTGTGTAAAGAACCTACTTTGACATCTCCCCTATACCTTCCTCCAGTCACCTTAAAATTATGCCCCCTCATAATAGTCATTTCCACCCTGTGAAAAAAGTCTCTGGGTATCCACTCTATCAACGCATCTCATCATCTTGTAAACCTCTATCAAGTCACCTCTCATTCTTCTTCGGTCCAATGAAAAAGCCCTAGCTCCCTCAACCTTTCCTCATTAGACCTGCCCTCCAGTCCAGGCAGCATCCTGGTAAATCTCTGTTGCATCCTCTCTAAAGCTTCTACATCCTTCCTATAATGAGGCGACCAGAACTGAACACAATATTCCAAGTGTGGTCTAACCAGAGTTTTACACAGCTGCAGCATAACCGCACGGCTCTTAAACTCAATTCCCCTGCCAATGAAAGCCAACACAACAACCGCGTTCTTTACAACCCTATCAACTTGGGTAGCAACTTTGAGGGATCTATGGATGTGGACCCCAAGATCCCTCTGTTCCTCCACAATGCTGAGAATCCTGCCATTAACCCCGTATTCTACATTCAAATTTGACATTCCAAAATGAATCACTTCACACTTTTCCTTCCAAAATGAATCACTTCACACTTTTGGTGTAGGTTTTCTGTTCCACTCCCTAATTCTTAATATCACTTGTGAATAAGATGGGCAGAAAAATGTTTAAAACATTGTAAGGAAATTGGAGGGAAATTTTTAACATAGTACCACTAGATTCCCTAGGGGCAGGAGTGTCCCTCTCTGTCTTTCATCGATAACAATGAAGATCAATGCGTGGACTACACAGTTGGTAACCCATGTTGCTGCTTATCCCCAAAAAAATCCAGGTGGTCCATATTGAGCCATGAGAAGCAAGGATACACAGTTGAATTTCTCACCCCCCTGGTATCCTTAAAGAGCAGCCCAATGGAGCTAAATGTGTGACTGAGATACAACTTGGTTAGATGCTCAAAAGAGACAATGAAACTGAACATTC